AGACAGACAGACAGACAGACAGAGACAGAGAGAGAGGAGAGACAGAGACAGAGACACAGAGAAAGAGGCAGAGAGACAGACAGAGAGACAGAAAGACAGGGAGAGAGACAGAGACAAAGAGACAGAGAAAGACGGAGAGAGACAGAGACAGAGAGAGAGGTGAGTCGATGAGCTTGGGTCTAGCTTGGCTAGAGGGAGGTCCTTGAAGTGGTAGGAGGGAGGTCACTTGAGATTGAATCAAGCACAGGGGCTGCCTAGGAAATGGGCGCAGGAAGTACTGAGCATCCGGGGATTTCACAAGCTATGAGCAGGAGGTTTTAGTCTACATGCAGAAATCACAGCAAGGACACAGAGACAGAGACAGCCCCGGTGCAGGCGAGGGAACTGAGGGATGCCGACACCAAGCAGGTGCCGAGGGCGACCCAAAAGGCGCAGCAGGAGTTGTAGCAGCTTCTCCAGCCTGGGCAATGTGGCAAGACCCTGTGCCAAAGCAAAAAATAAAATAAAATAAAAGAAAGAAAGAAAGAAAGGGCTGGGGTGTAGCTCAGGGCAAAGGCTCTGGGTTCAAACTCTAGTACTGAAAAAAAAAATCCTCAGGCATAAGATGTGGACAAAGTGAACCTTCACAGTCGGCCGCACCCGTCTCCCTCCTTCGCTTGGCTATCAGCACGAAGCTCACCTGTGTGCTCTGGCTGGGTTGGCAGAGTCTTGTCTGGCTCTTCCAGCAGCAAAGAGAGAGAGAGTACTTCTCTTTGGTTGCATTATTTGCTCCTTAAATTTCAGAACTCCTATTCACCCATTGAAACCCAAATTAAAGTCACCTCCTCTGGGAAGCCTTCTTGGTTACACTGGTCTAACCTCCATGCTTTCATAGTAATGTGGTCTGGAGAACAAGGGCACTCCCTGCTGTTTGATGGTACACAGCACTGAATGTGTGAGTGTCTGATGCCTGCAGTGGGGACAGTAGCACTGGCCAGCCTCGTTGTAAAGACAGAGTACATATCTGGTGTTTCACGGGGCTAGAAGCCATCCTGTGGGGACACCTGCCCTTCTGCTTCACCTTAGCTTTAGGTAAAAGGGGATGGACTCTGCCTCACTCAGTGAGGGTAACGTCAGGGTCACCACAGAAGCTGTATCAGGGGCCTGCACAGAGAGGCAGCGGGCTGTGCGGCATGGCAGTGTGGAGACCTGGGACTGCCCGTCCTTGACCTGTAATGTGACTTGGGGAGGTGACATCATCTCCAGCATGTTTCCTCGTCTCAAATATAACAACAACCTGGGGTGGACAGACAGCTCGGCGGTCTAAGCGCCTGCCTGGCAAGTACAAGGCGTTCGATCCCCGGTACCGCATGCCCTGCCAGCGCCAAACCGGGCTTGGTAGCGCACGCCTGTAATCCAGCGTTGGGGAGGCTAAGACAGGAGGATCAGTGTGAGTGCGAACTGCACAGCGAGATCCTGTACCAAATGAATAAATAAACCAGTAACCCATATTGGGCACCTATGCACCTATCGTCAGTACTCAAGGTGCTTCCCCAGGCTTAGATCTTCGACCTGGGGGTGGGGTCTCTCTGTCTATCCCCGGTCGTCCTTGAACTCTCCATTCTCCCGCTTCCACCTCCCTTATTCTGGGAGGATGGGTGGGGCAACATTCCCTATCTCTTGAGGGGGCTGGTGTGTGATCATCCCATTTTACAGACGAGAAAAGTAAGGCCTGGAGAGGACGAACGACCAGTGTAACTTTATGAGGTGGCGCCAGGCGAAACTCAGAAAATTGTTCCAATCCGAATGGAGAAACGTGAAATAATCCTACATGGTTTAGACGACTGGCAGTGGGGGAGAGTCGGGACTTGGGGGTGTGGTGAACTGGGAGAAGGGGATCAGAGAGGCGGCCTAGAATTTCAGGGCAGGTTGGTCTCCGGGCGGCCCCGCGCTGCTCCAGC